AAAAAAAAAAAACAAAAAAAAAAACTAAGTCTAACTGCCAATAACTTCTTTTGTGTCACCCTGTAACCCCCTGCTCAACGTTTAATGATCTTGGACTCCAGAGCCCCTGTGATGATGATGCATTATCAACGTGATGACATGGGTTTTCCCCTCTGCTCGTACATATGCAAGGAAGGAGAAAGTTTTAGTCTTCTTTTTGTTTAACTCTCCCTTCATTTTCCCTTACACCTGGAACAGTACCATCCAGTAATAGTTTCTCCATAATAGTTAGTTAAATTGAATTAATACAACTTAAATATGTCCATATATGACCTGGGTCATCTTATGCCAAGAGTAATCTCTGTGCCGAATCAGTTCGTATTCTGCCAAATAAAGGAAATTCATATTTGCTTTCTTGTTAGATTCATGCAAATATTGAAAACTCTTGGAATGAGGAAGAAGTTTGGAGAATTGAAATGTATATCTCCTTTGGCATAATGAGCCTTGGCCTACTGTCCCTCCTGGCAGTCACTTCCATCCCTTCAGTGAACAATGCATTAAACTGGAGAGAATTCAGTTTTATTCAGGTATGTTGGGTTTTGTTTGGTGAGGGATTTGGCAGCATAGAACTTCGTTGTTAAGTATAGTTGAATCTTAAATATGCTCCTTATAAAAAGAGTGCCTTTCAGGGCTGTGTTTATGCATCTAGGAAACCATTATTGGAGGCCAGCTTAGGACTACCCTGGTAGCAAGTGAAAGACCAGTACATGATTGTACTAGAAGGCTTTGATAGCACTTCCTACTGGGTTAAGGATGAAGATTATTTTTAAAAGAAAAAAATGAAAGTGGGAGAGGAGTGAGCTTAGATCAAATTTAATGTCAAAAGACAATTTATTGTTAGCCAAATGAATGAAAAATTATTTTATGTTTTGAATCATTTTGATCTGTGCAGAAAAATCTCATTAATTTGAATTCAAGTGGGGAGGTCAGTCTGAATATTGTAAAGAAATGTGTGTGTATACACACAAAGACAAGTACTGGCAAACTAGGTAACTAGGTTAATGGATTATGACAAGCAACAAGCCTGATGAATATTGTTAGAATATGCATCTGTCTTATACTAATGTATATAAGTATATACTAATGTTTTCTAATCTTGTTAGAATATTATATCTGTCTTATACTAATGTATGTAAGTGTAAAGGGATTTCAAAGCAAGTTTAATAAGTTAAACATTCACCTTCTCCAATAATAACTAAATAGTAAGTTTGCATATTTTAAAACTATACAACTCAAACTTAGACCCTATCTATATTTTCACAAAATCTGTATTGGTTGTATCCAAATAGTTTATAGCACGATACACAGATTAGTGCATCTTTCCACAGATTAGTACTACTTTGGTCATATACTAAGTTTTGTTTCATTTCTTTGCCTATTTGCTTGAGGCTTTTTTTTGTTTGTTTAAGTCATGTAAAAATCTCATTCAAATTAAGGACATAACCCTTGTCTAAATTCATTTTCCCTTTTTAAAGAAAAGGGAATGTGAATACTTTCCCAATAGCTAGTTTAATCACACCTAAAAAGAAATAGAAGGCCCTCTGATAAAAGGTTCTAGACAGGTGCAAATTATCATTATAAGTTTAGATGAGTAATTGCAAACATTTTGCCTGCTAAAGAGTTGATATTTTCTCAGTGAAGTCATACATCACATCATTTTACTGATGTAATATTATTTTTATGTGACAGACCATTTATCAAAGTAAGCAATGTTAAACTTTAGGGAATGAAAGAATGCTGACCTTCTAGAATTTAACCTGTAGACTACCTAACTGAAGTACTCTTAATAATCCCATTTAATATGGTCAGTAAAGCCATATGTTTGAATTGCTATTTATATTACATATTAATATTATAGGATTTTTCATATTTACCTATTAACTAGTGTGTATATGTGTGTGTATATGTATGTCCATGATAATGCTCTTCAGCATTTAATTTTATCATATGTATATTTATGTATATACAGTCATGCCTCACTTAACAATGGGGATACATTCTGAGAAATGCATTGTTAGGTGATTTCTTCATGTGAACATCATAGAGTGTACTTACACAAACCACAGCCTAATTGCTCCTAGGCTCAAACCTGTACAGCATGTTACTGTCCTGAATACTGCCAGCAATTGTAACATAATGGTAAATATTTGCGTATCTAAACATATCTCTAAACATAGAAAATGTACAGTAAAAACATGGTATTATAATCCTATCAACCACCGTTGCATAATGCTGTCTGATGTTGACCAAAATGTCATTATGTAGCACATGACTGTGTTTATATGTATGTGTATACGCACACACACATATACATACTTTTTGTTTTTAATACACAACTGGTGGGAATATGGATAACCTTTATAGAGAAGAGCTTACTTGCAGCTACATGGATGGATGGAACTGGAGGTCATTATCTTAAGTGAAACAACTCAAAAACAGACAGTCCAATACCTCATGTTCTCACTTATAAGTGGGAGCTAAATAATGTGCACAAATGGACATGAGTGTGGAAAAATAGTCACTGGGGACTTGGGAAGGTGGGAGGGGGCTAAGGGATGAGAAATTACTTAATGGGTACAATGTACACTATTCAGGTGATGGTTACACTAAAAGCCCAGACTTCACCACTGTGCAGTATATCCATGGAACAAAACTGCACTTGTACCCCTTAAATTTATTCAAATGAAAAAAAGAAGAGTTTAGCAGTCTGTATCAACACCCTTAAGGAAAAGCTAGATGTTTTGACCAATAATCCTATTAGAAATCAGTCCTAAGGAAATAAACCAAAATATGGAAAAGGGCCTAATGTGACATTTGTAGTTGAGGGAAGTTGGAAATAGAGTAAATTATCAACAAAAAAGAGTGGTTCAATAAATTATGCACATCCATTCAATAGAATATTATAAAGTAGTAATGTCATTTTCATATTTAATGACATGAGGAAAATATTCTTTTTTATTTGACATATTTGTATATATTTATGGAGTACATAGGGATGTTTCAATATATGTTTAATCATCAGATCAGAGTAATTAGCATATCTATCATCTCAAACATTTATCATTTCCTTGTGTTGGGAACATTCAATATCCTCCTTTTAGT